TTGACAACAATTGATGGTAGTTAAAGAATTAACTATCCATTGATTTTAATAATCTGTTGTTGCAATACAGCGAAAATTAGATTCAAATTTTTTCTCGAAAATATTATATTAGAAGTGACATTAAAAAGATGATTTATTGAATCCAATAGATATTATCAAACTGATATAAATAAATTATAGAGGAATAAATTGTAAACAGATATTAATATTGGAATGTTCTTTACAATATTTCGTTAAACATGCATATTTTTGTATCTTATGTAAGATTTGCGCTTTAATGTATTAACTAGTATTAATTATTCTGTAAATTTATAAAGATGAACACATACAATTGTAATTTTCTTTCAAATCTTTTTTACATTACGTTTTAGAGCTCTTTCATATTTCAAATTATATATATATAAATTTTTGTACGTACTAATATTATTTCTAAAGAGAATAAATTTTTATAAATTTTTAAATATTTGTAAAAATATATATATTATTGAGCATCCATTTAAAGAAAACATTATATAAACACTTGTTTAAATTATTAAAATTATTTTTATGCAGAATATTCTTATGTCTCTTTAATAATACAAAAATATTTTTGGAAATAAAAATGTTATATATCATTTAATATATGAATGAACTGAATGAGTCACAAAAGGAGACCGATTAATATCACATAATTATTTTCTTATAAATATCATATAATTATTTTCTTAATATTACTTAGCAAAATGTGATTAACGTGTTTATCCCAATTTTTTGGAAATAAAGCAATTGATTTATAGCGAGAGAAAGAGAAAATTTAGTTTTATGCACTGATGCACACTGCATTATAAAGGTTGTCATATATAAAATTACAGTAGTATAATTTAAATAATAAAATAATTAATACTATAAGTTGTTATAATATATTATAATATTATAAAGTTATATAATATATAATATATAGTATATATTATATATATAATATATATTATATTAATTATAAAGTTATATAAGTTATTATATAAGATTATTTAGTACAAAAAACGATAATAATAGCTCGTAGAATTAATTATTTTATTTATTTTTGTTATTTATACAATTTACGTGCTATTGTATATTTATTGTATACTTATTTATATTAGTGTAAAAACGCTGCCGTGTTACGTATCGCTTGATTCAAAATGCATTATGTGAACAGAAAACGTGTAAATCACTTTTTTTAAGTCCATTATTACTTTTCTTATAATCAGAATATTTTTTTATATAATAAATGTTCTTCTTATGCCAAAGAGAAGGTTACGCAAAAATAAATTAAAATAAGAAGCTAATATTATAAAATAAAATTTATTAAACAGTTATATGTATATAAATATATTTATTTATATATAGAATTATTTTTGTTTTGTATATATATATATATATATATATATACATATAATTTATTTATTATATTTTATTTTATATATATATATATATATATATATATATATATATTTTATGTTATTTTATGTTATATTTTATGTTATATATATATATATATATGTATATATATATATATATATATATATATATATAAAACTTTGTCTTATATGTATAAATTTTTTAACAAATAATTCTTAAGGATTTAAATGGATTTCTAAGGATTTAAATTTCAACAAACAATTCCTAAGGATTTAAATGGATTTCTAAGGATTTAAGTTTCTTTTGAAATAACGAGTGTCTTCGTGGAAAAAAATAAATTACAAACGGAATGGAGGCTAATAAAATGTCATGGTAACAGATCGGATTGACCATTCGAAGTCAGTTACTGCTGTGATCGCTAGCCAAATGCTACCACGGTTATTTATCGCTTGATTCAAACAGTATTATATGAAGATTAGAGAAACCGTGTAATTGTGTATAAATAGTGGATTTTAAAAAACATAGCACGTAGTAACACAATCGTACGAACAAATTGTCATAATTACATATTTAATAACAGATATAGCAAATATTGAGTGAATTCGATTATACGCTGCGTGTGCTTGAATATGGCTGAAAATGTTACAAGATCTATAATTCTATAATTTCTTAGATCGTTCGTAATTTTATTGTGGTTATCTTTTTATTGACTGCTTTTCTATTAATGAAAAAGGAAAGCTAATAATAATTATATTCCTGTGTGTTCGCGATACAGTCAAATATATACGTACCATAGAAATTATTTACTTACTAAGAATTCTCCAATTTAATCTTAGGATATATACTGTGATTGTGACCATAAAGAGAAATCTAAAAACATAATATTAGAAGATAATAACTTGCGATTCCTCAAAATTGATTTTTAAAGAATTTATCGAAAATATATGTATCTATGTGAATTAATACCAATTCGATTCATAAATCAGAATTAGTAGAGTGAGAAAAACAATTAATTGTGGATTAAACGGAAACCGATTGAGTGCAAACGTTTACCAAAAATGCAAATTATGTTTGGAACAATTTTATGTGTTTTATTGAAAGGTTTAATATTGACAAAGGCAACTATTACGCCGGAGGATGATACCACTTCAATCATCTTTCAGGAAGAAAGTATTTCCATCTATCCGGATTTAAATTTCACGCAGGTAGGAGATATTTTTCGCTTGATTAAGAAACAATTGCATGTTATTGTAGCTAATAGTGTGACTAAAAATGAATGAATAAATTATATATTCTATTTATATAATAAGATAAGATAAAATAAAACAATTCAATATAAAAATAAAAAATATATATGATGTTGTAAAAAACAGATGGATAAAGTTTCGAAATTTTGTTTACAAATGAATGTTATATAGTATATTGAATTTAATTAAAACGATATTTTAAAATTTGACTATGTATTTTCTCTCTTTCTCTTTCTCTCTCTCTCTCTCTCTCTCTCTCTCTATATATATATATATATATATATATATATATATGTATAATTATATATATAATTATTATTTCCAGAAATAACAATTTTTAATTTTAATGAAGTTTTCTGTCTACCATCTGCTACATTAATATATACATACAATGACATTTCAATAAATTTTTATGTTATTTTTCTTCAATTTCTAAAATTTTTTTATCTTTCTAGATATTTATGATATTTATAATATTTATTGATATATGTAGTAAGATTTATACTAATGTAGATTTTATTCTAAGAAATTAATTTAGAAAGTTAGCACTTAGTCACTTCTTTGTATTAAGAGTAATTATATAAAATAAAACAGAACAGAGCTAAATATTGAGATAGAAAATATGTCTAATAAAAAAATCGTTCATCAAACATTCTTCAAACTGTATCTATTAACGTTAATATTTCGATCGACAATACATTCAATAACAATTGCTAGAATTTATATTAATTTTCATTGTACATACATTCATATACAATTACATGCACATATTCATATCGAGGCATTATATCGGTTCATACTATCGGTTTATATTATCATTTTCAGGATTTGATTGTTAAAAATATAACGACACTCGAGAAAAAAATTAATAAGGATATAAATAAAAGAATATATATAATTTCTATGACTAATATTTAATAACTGTAAAAGAAACAATTTTTTTAACCTTTTTATGCTTGAAGTACAAATATTAATAGAACTTTAGTAATATCGGCAAATTTTTGAAAAAAATTTAATTTACGTAAAATTGAGAAGAGTTAACTAACCTATCATGAGAAAGAATCAAATCGTTAGATAAAATTGTTTTAATAATTGCAAAGAACTACACTTTCGCTTCCACTACTTGCTAAAAGCTGTTATGATTCGTCATTGACTCTTGTTAACCTATATTGATTGATTTTCTTTTTGATATGATAAGTTATAAATAGAGTTTACAATATGAATAAAACTACATCGCATTGAATATATATCATTTAGGAATGGTTTATATCAAACCTGTATTATTATATTATTATTACCTATATTATTATACAAAAAACGAATGGTAATTTTTGGTTTAATTTTATAATTTATATAATTTATCATTAAAAGCGCCCCCCAGAAACAACCGTTTCAACGATATTCATTTTATAATTCTTTTCGTATGTTACACTTCATGAAGAATATTTCAATGTCCGAGAAAAATAATTATCATAATTCATCACTAAATTTCAAATCTGACCGGAGTCATTCTGATAGTACTGTGGGAAATGATCGAAAAGTCGATGAAGTTACACTTGCAAATATTTCTATCATCCCAGAATCTATCGGTAAGTTACAAAAAATGCATCAAACATTAATAACATAATCTATGACGAAAAAGTGTAAATACAATTTAAATTTAAGAGAGAGTGGGAATAAATTTAAAAATACCTTCCAGCAGTGAAAAAAAATATAAATTCTATTTTGTAGAAAAAAGAAATAAAAAGGCATAATATAAACATAACATTGTACATAAAAATTGTCATGATTTAAGGTAAAGTCAATTTGATTAACTTGCGCTACTTGGTTTTAAAACAATCACAAATATTATACTCCTGATTTCTTAAACTGTAGAAATTTTTCGAAAAGTACTTGTCATTTTATTGAAAGTTATTTATTCGTTTTTGTTATGTATTAACAATTACTTTTCTAAGTCTTAAATGACGCAAAAATTTTTTATATTATTTTATTTTTTAAAGATCAATACTGTATTAATTTTCATATTTTGTAATTTAGATTTATTTTTCCTCTTTCCTTTATTTTCACATTAAATTGTTCTTTATGATTTACTGAGATATCCACATAATTATTAATATAATTATGTTAATATGTACAATCTACTCTAGAAAACAATTTGGACAAGCCAACATCTCTCAGAGCATTTGTACAATTCGACAGTCAATTCACAGAAAAAGTAAACATTTTTGTGACATTGAGGTAAAGAATCTAAATTATCAGTTTGTATTTTTTCATTTTTCTCTCTTTTCTTAAATTCAACGACATAAATATATCAAAATGTTAATTCTGTTATAATTTTACTAAATATAAAAAGACTGAAATGTTATTCTTTTATAGATGGAACCAACCTAACTTTACCGATGAAATAATACAAGGGTATACGGTGCATTGTTTTTTCATCGAGGATTTAAAAGATATTCAATTCTGTGAGGATAAAAATATCACCACTACAGAATTGGAGCACACGGTTCACAATCTAACATTTAACACGACATATTATTTTCGAGTACGTGCGCATACTAAAATTGTTGCTGGACCTTACACGGATTTTATCAATGTGTCGACTACACATGAAAATCCAATACCTAAATTATTATTCACAACGAATCAAGATATTCAAATATGGGACGTGGATTTAAACATCATTACTAATTTAGTAATGATGTCACAGTACGTATACTGATAAAAAAAATAGTTAGAATTATGAAATTATATTTGACACTATAAAGTTAAACTTATTATTACTACGCACAAGTTTATTATTAACATTATACCACAAGTTTATTATCAACATTAGTAGTAATAATTATAAAATTAGAAATCTTAACTATAATTTTTTTAATATACTATTATAGTTGGCTCCTTTTTTTAGATCAAAATTAATAGATGTCGCTTATTCGATACAAGAATATAGAATTTATTGGATAACCGAAAGAGACCTAATGACATTTAAAATTAATGAAAATAATATCACAAAAATAGCTAGCTTTGATCATGTTCTACATGATCTCTGCATTGACTGGGTAGCAAGAAATCTATATTTGACATATCAAGAATCAAACTACTCTTACATTGTAAAGTTCGACATAACAATGTGGGAAAATGGCATAATTAAATTTGATATTTTGAAAAAAATCTTTGCTATTGACTATTTAAATGTATTACCGTCTATCGGGTACGTCTACTACCGTTCACCTGAAAAAACAATTTTAAAGATTTATGCAAATTTGAAATTTTTTTACAATACGTATTTTACATAGTTTTATAATTAAGATCATAAGTAAAAAGACATAATAAGTTATTATATAATTATAAGAATTTCGAATTTTTACCACATATAAGTTTCTGTTTTTGTTAAAATAATGTTCTATAATGAGTAAAATAATTATATTTTTCAGAATTTTATATCACATATCATACAATCGGAAGAATCGAGAATATGATATGATGAAATATCATCTCGATGGAAAAAACGAACAAATTATTCAGATAAATGCATCGTTTTGCCTATTTCAAGATATAGATTTTTTTCATGATATGATAATTGATAACATGAATAATGAGGAGCCATTAATTTACTGGTTAAGTGAAAATTACACAACTGTAACAGACATTAACGTTTCTATGTGCAATAGGATTTTATACAAGAAAAACGTAGATGATAACATCAATTTCAAATCTATGACGATTGATAAAACAAACATTTACATTTTAGCAATTGATTCGCTCCAATATATTCTCTACGTTTTGAAAAAGAAATACGCAAGTCTCAAGAGCGTCCCAAATGCATACAAATATGTTAAAAAGATACCAATAAGCTCAGATAAAAATGGGTTTTATAAAATTTACGCTTTTGATAAATCTTCACAATCATATCCTCCAATGAGATGTCTGACACCTGACGAAAAAGTTTATAATTTTGAGAATGTGACTGCAACGGCAAACAGCATCATTGTAAATTTACCGGAGCCGGTTGTAAAGAGTGGATGCAAAAAATATAATTTACCAACTACTATATATACTATCTTTGTAAGCCATTGTTTAGACAACCTCAACAAGTCTGAAGAATTCAATGTGCAGACGTTCGAGAGATATTACGAGTTTCAAAAATTAACACCATTTACAGAGTACAAGTTGAAGTTTACTTTAAGCAATTTTTACTTTGACCAATTATCAATAAATCCATTCGATTCGAACGTGATACGAATAAAAACTAATTTGTACGAGCTTAATGTACCAGAAAACATAAGTGTTTTAGCTTTGACGCCTACTATAGCAGTAGTTCATTGGATGCCACCCAAGAAATTGAACTGCGTGGTTGTGACCTACGAAGTGCATTGGAAGTTAGTGAACGACACGCAACAAGAGAATAAACAATTTATCAATGTGCCGAAACGTATGGCAGACGGCAGATTTTTCACAAAGATTAACTTGTCGCTACCAGTACAAGATTACTTGATATACGTGCGTGTGTATCCAAGTAATTTCAGCGATTTCTACAACGAGAGTTTAAGCAAGATCAATTACATATACTCAGAACCAAATAATATTACTTTGAGCGGGGTCAACACAAATAGCATGAACATTTCATGGCTCTCAAACATCAATCTGATGATCTCTTCTGCACTAGAGTACAAAAACGTTTCAACAGAAAAGTGGCAAACAACGAATGATATCAGAATGAATTATAATAAAGAAGTAATATACCATATCAGAAATTTACAATCGGGAACTTTATATAAGTTTCGTTTGATATTGAGATATTTGGAATATGAGGAAATTTTTATATGGCCGGCTGATGAAAGATTTATTTTTTCAACATATGATAGCAAACGTGGTAAGTAAATAAAGATATCCATAATGCACAATAAAGTTGCCGATATATCAAAGTATAATTTCAATGAAACATTGCAATATTGTAAATCGATTGCAAAACTCTGCTGAATCATTGTTATAAGATCAAAATGAAGTTAAGATGTCCGCTTTTTGCAATGAAATATTGGAGCAACATTGTATTGTAATATATTTAAAAGAATGTAATGTTATTGCAACCATCTAATAATATTACGTATAAAATATTTTTGTCTTTGATATATGAATATCTTGGAAACTTTATAATTAAATTAACAAGTTTGATATAAATAGAAACTTTATATAAATAGAAGCTTGCAATGACTTCATATCTGATACTTTGTTGCAAAATTATATTTAAACATAATTTTATAACATAAAATATTATATTTTCAAAGTTACTTTACATTCTTACTTATCACTTTTTACGAATCACTTTTTTTATTGAAAATGTCGTATATATTCATATAATGAGGTACAAACATTAATTAGAATTAATTATACATTTATTTCTAATCATACTTTTATTTAAAAATTTTAAGAATTTGTTACAATCACATATATATTTACATGAGAAAAACACAAAAATGCATTGAAAAATAAAATGATAAATATAAAAGTATCTATTCTTAATATATAATAAATAAATCTTAATATAATAAAAAAATATTGGATTCGTACATAAAGTGAAAATATATCATAAAATATATTTTAACATTGACATAAATTGTTATCAATATTTTAATAAAAGAATAGCAATGCTTATTTTTAGCTTAGAATTATATTTACTCGACTGATATTATTTCTGTGTCATTAATTCGTTTGACTTCTGCAAAAAAGTAAAATTTATCGCATATAAATATAAAAATATATATTATTACATTATTTTTATAGATAAATTAAAGAGTGTTACAGTTTTTCAATGGTTTCAAAATATCAATATTATATTGCTAATATCCAATTCATACTTTGTTAATTTATATTTCTACAATGTTTGCGTAATGTTGCATCGCAATTTGTAATATTGTAATATTGTTGCAAAGTAGTTGTAACATTCTATGCTGCATGAGATATTATAATATTATGCGATGATATTTTTAGATATGAATAGGCCTATAATTTAAAAAATTAAATATTTATAATAAAGTTGTAAGTAAAATTAAATTTATATTTTTACGTAATATAGATGATATTTCGAACACTCCCGGAATATTAGCTACAAAATATTACCTACCATTGATGTTGACTTCTATTTTTATAGTTACTATAGTTGTTATAGTTACTATAATCTGGCTTTATCGGTGTAAGTATATTTGATATACGTATCGCCTTGAATTGTAGTCATTTATCTATATATGTATATATATATATATATATATATATATATATATATATACATATACACGGTGGGCCATTTTAATCGATGCACTCAAATATTTCGGAAAATAATGAAAAATCAAAAAAATGTTTCAGATAAAAGTTGTATGGCTTGAAGGGGGCCATCATATAGTGGCAATGATTTGATCTTGGAGAGTCATTTGAAGATGACGTAAAGGTAACCTTCAATTTCTTAAATAGAACTCCCTATTTTTTATTACATATTCATGTAGCTTATCTCGAGAGCTTTCCAAAACACTATAATAAAGTATTTCTTCATTGAGTACTTTTCGAGTTATGAGGCTTGAAATCATTTCTTAATTTTGTATAAACCGTAAAATATCTAGTAAAATATTCATTTTTCGATTATCTTGCTTTAATACTTTTATGTACAAAATAATGAGAGGAATCAATTGGTGTAAAAAAAACACATAGTTGTTTCAAAGAAAAAATATGTAATTGTTAATTGCAAATTACATATTTTTTCTTTGAAACAACTATGTGTTTTTTTTACACCAATTGATTCCTCTCATTATTTTGTACATAAAAGTATTAAAGCAAGATAATCGAAAAATGAATATTTTACTAGATATTTTACGGTTTATGCAAAATTAAGAAATGATTTCAAGCCTCATAACTCGAAAAGTACTCAATGAAGAAATACTTTATTATAGTGTTTTGGAAAGCTCTCGAGATAAGCTATACGAATATGTAATAAAAAATAGGGAGTTCTATTTAAGAAATTGAAGGTTACCTTTACGTCATCTTCAAATGACTCTCCAAGGTCAAATCATTGCCACTATCTGATGGCCCCCTTCAAGCCATACAACTTTTATCTGAAACATTTTTTTGATTTTTCATTATTTTCCGAAATATTTGAATGCATCGATTAAAATGGCCCACCGTGTATATACAGGATGGCCCACATAACTCTTAACAGCTCAATATCTCAAAAACTATGCCATCGATTTTAAAGTTCTTGATCTTAAATTGCATGGATCTAAAGGGTCTTTTTAACTATATAAACTTGAAGTGGCCCCCCTTCCCCTTTAAGGGGGGACGAGGGTAACTTTATAATTTTAAATGGAACTCCCTATAAAACGTTACATATTTAAATTCTACAGGAAAAAAACAAGTAAATTTTGGCTGAAACATTTTTTTGTCAGATATTTCCATGATGAGATATAACAGTTTGAAGTTTCGATTTGTAGGTACTTACTTGAAGCGCTCGGAAATAGCGTTGTTAAATTATACGCGCTTGAGTTCTTTGCTTATTCGTGAAGAAATAAAATGTTCTTTAAATTAAATGTTCAAAATGTCCACGGACTTGTAAACATTTATTTACTCGAAACATCAAAGTTGTTCTAACATTTGTTAATATTTCGGAAGTCACTGAAGCGCAAGCGTCACGTATTCTTTGTTTCATATTCTCTAAGGATTATAAGATGGTGTTATTAATTTTACTTTGAAAAGTCGTTTGAAAGTCATATGAAGGTCACCTTCAATTTTTTAAATGGAATCCCTATTTTTTATTACTTATTCTTGTAGATTATTTCAAGAGCTTTCCAAAATACTAGAATAAAATATTTCTTCAGTGAGTATTTTTCAAGTTACGAGGCTTGAAATAAGTTCTTAATTTTACATAAACCATAAAATATCTAGTAAAATATTCATATAGAAAACAATAGAGGCCCTTCCTTCTTAATTTGAGCCGATCTACTTCCTTACTTCGTTAAGATCAAAAATTCCCTGCCACCTTATATATATATATATATATATATATATATATATATATATAAAATTTATACATACATGTATATCTGATGCATTATAATACCTAGAGATTTACAAAAATAGTAATTTACTTACATAAAAGTAAACGAATAAATTTACTAAAAAACGAAAAATTCTATAATACATATTATTACATAATTAAGTTAAAATTTTTTAACAGTGTATCGTCAACGCAAAAGTAATTATGAACTATTATTGCCTTCAACAACAACCGATATAGAATTAGACGATATAGAATTAGAGATTCTACAAGAAGTACCTGAATTCAGTACCATTTATAGTCCTATGTTACATTATAATCCGGATGAATGTGAGATAACTAAAATCGCACGTAAACAAATTACATTTACAAAACTTATTGGTAGCGGCACATTCGGAAAGGTAAAAATTAATCTTTCAAGCAATGTTTCAAATTAATTTCTGGTTCAACAGATGTATTTTCTAATAAAGATATTATATAAATTTTTATAGTAGATTATAAGTAATATAAAATTTAAATGAGACAACAAATATGCACTTTATTATATATTTTTCGTTAAATTATTTAATATAAAGTGAAATATAATATTACTTGACATTAAACTATACATTTTCTAATAAAGTACGTATGTAAATTTGTGTGAAATATATCGCAGGTGTATCAAGGAAAAGTGAAAAACTTAGAAAGTTCGGGCACAGAGATATCCGTTGCAATAAAAACGCTTCGGAAAGATGCTTCTTCCCATGAGAAAAAGAGATTGTTAAAGGAAGCCGAGCTTATGAATCGTTTTAGACACAAACATATATTAAGATTGTTGGGCGTTTGTTTGGATGGAATTTCTCCGTTTCTAGTGTTCGAATTAATGGAAACTGGTGATTTGTCAAAATATTTGAGAGATTGTCGAAATTTGGAAGCGTCAGATTCGCACGCTTTGCGTTTGCAAGATTTGGTCGCCATGTGCGAAGATGTTGCGCGAGGTTGTTGCTACTTGGAAGAATTGCGTTTCGTACATAAAGATCTAGCGTGCCGCAATTGTTTAGTATCTTCGAGAAATCATGAGAATTGTATTATCAAAATTGGAGATTTTGGATTAGCTAGAGATATCTATAAGGATGATTATTATCGCATGGTAAATACAATTATTAAAAAAAATTAAAAAATGAATTCATTTGAAAATACTATCCATTTTTTTATCATAATAGTATCGTGCATTGTTTCTTCAAGTAATATGGAATATAAATAGCTTTTATTTATATATAGCAAGAGATAACGTTTTTCTTTTTGCACATATTGTAAAAATGAACAACTTGAACCAGAAAATTAAATGTTTGAATGTTTTAATTTTGTTAAAATCATGTTTTAGAGAGGAGAAGATTTGCTTCCTGTTCGCTGGATGGCACCCGAATCTTTGATGATCAGAACATTTACTTCTCAAAGCGATGTTTGGTCATTTGGTGTTTTAATGTGGGAAATTACATCGTTGGGTGAGCAACCTTATAGTGCTAAGACTAATGAAGAAGTGATAAATTATGTACGTGCTGGAGGCAAGTTGCTGATGACTCTTAACTGTCCATCAGCATTATACCAGTTGATGCTACGTTGCTGGTGTGCAGCGGATGCTAGACCAAATTTCGAATTTTGTCTGAACAATATTATAGCATTAAGAGAGAACATAGAAGATGCCTTACTGAGTCCAGTCGATACTATTTAGCTGATATTATAATTAAATTAATGTTTATTTTCCTAATGATCCAATAAATCTTACTGTAGGAAAAATATTTCTAGATAATTGATTCTGTCTGTTCTGAATTTAAATTTTAGAAAGAAATTTAAATTTTAGAAAGAAATTTAAATTTTAAAAAGAAATTTAAATTTTAGAAAAAAATTTTATTAGAAAATCATATTAAAAGATAAAGAAATAATGTAAGATAAAATTATGATATATAAGATTAATAATATAAGATTAGAAGATGAAGAAATATGATAATTTTTAAATCTATATATAACATCTGTACATCATATAAAATTTGTATAAAAACTTTTTTTAAAGTTTATATTTTTAATTTGAATAAAATGATAAGAAAGCATAATTGAGCTTTTTTTTTAGCTATATATACATATATATATATTTATTTATTTTTTTAATATTATATTTGCTGAAATCATGTTACATACTAGAAAAGAGAAAGTCTGTTTCTTATTAAAATATTTATGGAACATTTAATTATATATTTTGAGATTTATAACTTTATATTTATTCGAACACATACTTTTCTTCACTTTCTTTTTAGATTTTTCGTTTGTATATAATTATAAAAAATTTTTCTGTTTGTAGAGATGTTTTGAAAGATAATATTTATAAGAATATTATATTATATATTTTAAAATATTTTACTCTAATATAATAGAATTTAATTTAATTTGTAATATTATAATCTTAAATATTTTAGAACAGTGTCATTCTTTTTAATAATAATATATAATTCTTTTAATAATAACTTATCTCTATTACCTTTGTAATTTGTTCGTAGGAACCTTTAATCTATAAATGATTTTGCAATGTCCATTCAATATATTCATCAGATAAATGCCACAGGAAGAGAGCAGGATATCGTATTAAATTTCCATTTATAATTTATATATTTATTACATTCTAGTTTACGATTGAAATATATCATCATGCTGTGTGTTATCAAAAAAAAAACAAACCAAATTTCAATTGCAGACAAGAAAATAAAAATAACATTTGTTATTTTCATTCATTGATTATAAAATGTATTAATTATTAACTTAATATGTTATTAAGACAATTACAATTTACAATTACGTATTATTTTTGACTTATAATTAAGTGTTATTTATTGATATAAAATGTAATATACAATATTACTTGGAATTGCCAATAATTGTCATCAAATTTATACGGTGAATGATATTTGTGATATTTTACTGTGAAAATATTTAACGAATAATTTAGCACGCGCGATATCTTTCTTATATAAAAGTATTCTCCATTATCCCAGTCTTTGTATTACTGAAAATAATAAAAAGATATTCATTATATATATATATATATATATATATATATATATATATATATATAGGTATACATAATTATTTAGATAATTTATTGATTTTCGAACGTTTTGTATATATTCTATTATAGTTTTTGTACAATGTTAATTAATTATTTCATGATTTAATGATCACTCATTTTGGAAGCAGGTTGGAAGCAGGTTGAAAGCATCATCACATTTTTTAACGCATCTTTTCGAAACGTTGCGCGATTTCGAAACCGAGATCTATTATATTACATATTTCCTATTAATTAATAATGCTAATTAAAACTCTATTAACGATTGAAACTTAAATAAAATGAAAGAATGCAACTCAGACTGTATGAAAACTGTAATAGAATATACAAAATGTTCAAAAATCAATAATTAAGTATCTAAATAATTATATCATTGTGAAACATTTTGTAAAATATTAAGATATTTACATAAAAATATAAATTAATCTAAAGTCTGAACAATAGTCTTTCATTTTACAGAGAGTTTCAATCATTACCAGTACACATTAAATAATTTTCTTATGATTTTTTTTATTTTTTTATTATCGCTCGGAGGCGAAGGCTGAAAACGTGTAGTAAAACGAATCGAATAAAAAAACGAAATCAAAAAATTAACGGAAAGCCTTTTGTTTTTTTATGGAATTAATAAATTGATGCATTCATACACACTCTCTATAAAAATGAATTAGTATATTATCACTGAAAACAGTAGACAGAGTCACTGATACAACAGTTATAAGTTATTATAGCACTGTAAATCAATAATATTTTACTGGAAGAATTAGTAATGTTGACTGTTTTAATCAGTAATATTAATTTATCTACCACGTGTAAAATTAAAAATTTTATTTATAGTTACATGCGGATTAGAACAAGAATGTTAAATAGATGATAATTTATATTATATCTTTAAAATATGATGACGAACTAGCGATTACTGATTTGACAGTGAAATTTTACTTCCACTGATTATAATTAGTAAGTTATAAGATAAAGTAATAAAAAAGAAGCGTTTCTACTGAGAGATCAATGAAATACTGATTCTTAGTGATTTTATCCATATATTTATAAATAGAAATTAATATAGTTTTCGTAATAATTATATATTATATATATATATATATATATATATATATATGTTTATATGTATGTATGTGTATGTATATGTATGTATATGTGTATATATAATTTGAAATTAATAAAAATTAATTTTTATTTTGTCTCAAAAACGTGAAAAATACGTTTCCTGAACTATGGTTTTAAAAGCGTTTCTATAAAAACGTTTCTTATTAATGTTTTACGATTAAAAAATATTGGATACATTAAGAAACATATATATAAAATATGTATAAAACGAATGTGTGCTACTTAGAGCATCATAGCATATCTTAAAGTTATTTATTGACGACAGCCATGTGTCATAAATTGTTTCGTTATCTATTGACAATGCGTAATTAAAGGTTAATTGTCCATTTAGACCGAATTTACTGCCAGTGCTGGAAATCTATAATATATGTGACGTAAACTATAGATTTTTATTTTTAGTTTATTGACGTAAACTATAGATTCTTTTGCGCGATCTTATGTTGCAAGAATGGTAAAAGAAACATTATTGGAGCTTGAATGCGAAGTTCTCCCGCACCCGCCTATTCACCAGACTTGGTCTCATCGGATTATCATCTTTTCCTCAATGCAACACGTACTCGACAATACATACTTCTTCAAATACGAAGAAATCCAAAAATGTATCAATCAATGGATTGCTTAGAAAAACAAATCGTTCGCGGAATGCAACTTTTGCAAAAAAGATGAAAAAAATCATAGAAAACAAAGGATTATACTTTGATTAATATATTAATCCATTTTCTTATTGAAATAAATGCATTTTTCAAGTAAAAAAACGACGGGAACTTAGTTATACATCTTATATATATATATATATATATATATATATATATATATATATATATATGTCACGCGGCATGTTCCAGGACGTCCTTTTATTTTTGCATTTAAAAGTCATGTGTGCAATGTATATGTGCGCAATAATGTCATGTGTGCAATCGTACTTTCGTTTCCTTATATTTTTCATGTGTGCAATAATACATGTAGGCAATCAGGAATTTTGGCAATCGGTAATATAGGCAAACGGGTCCCTCTTAATGTTTTTTAATAAAATCATCTTTTAGTCATCATATGTAGATAAGACTAAAATGTCACTCAGTTCAAGTAAGAAACCAGTTCTAGCAATCTTTCCACCGATTTAACGATGTTAATAACAGATGTTTATGACAAAAATATATTCAGTTTCAGTTTAGGAATACTTTTAGACAACTTGCTGCTCTGTGAAATATTACAAAAATAATATTTCTTAATGAAAATTATGCGAAATAATCATAACAATCTAAATATATATATTATAAAGAAATAAAAATGTGTGCAATTGGAATAAAAAAAACATTATGATATAACAAAAAATTATGATATAACAAAATGCAAACTTACATATTGCTCGAGTTGTGAAGCATGATTACTATTTCTTCGATTGCTTTTATTCTGTCAGGCGATATTTTTAGCCAGTAATTAAAAGTCTAAATTAATTATCGTTATCTGCATTCCAGGAACTAGAAGATTGTATCTGATCGGTTCTAATAGTTTTTACAATAAATCATAATTTTCTTAATCCTTTATGTCACTATAATCTCTGTAATCATCATAGATAAATAAAATATCTAAGAAAAAAAGAAAAATTAGAATGAAAGATAAATTCTTACCTCATCTTCTTGTTGCCGCTCAGAAAATAATAAAACGAGTTGTTATTTGTATTCGTCATGTTTTTCAATTCTCAGCGATATCTTTTTCTCGCAAAACTGTAAGAATTTAAGGAAAAAATTATTTTTATATATGATCTAACGAGAAATGACTCGATAGAAATAGGATAATAGGGCCGGTTCTCTGGTTTTACGACATAAAACATTCAACACGTGCGTCCCCCACCCCACAACCACCGCGCCGAAATCCGGCGTGACGTCATATTTCCGCTCCACTGAGATCCCCTCGCACCTCACCTTCCCTGAGAGGACCACCTTGGAATCTGGACACGATTTTGATTGGTTGAAACCCGACATCTTACATAGCGAAACGTATGTTCGAAAAAGAGAGATTGCTGAGATGTTTTTTATTAAGAGATCTGATAATCTCATCAACTTACAGACAGACACAGATAATCTAAATAATATTTATGACAAAATAATAAAGGTCACTTAGTTATGTTTTTCCCTCGAGATTCGTTTAGTTTTTCGAAATCTCACATGGACGCATCAGTCTCTCTCATTTTTTTGAATTTAATTATATAACGTTTTTTATTTGTGACTCGTCATGGTTTTTACAAGCGCTATATTTGTCTCTTGATTATTATATTTCATCGGTAAATTTGGTTACTCTTTATTCTGCTTTGTGTTTTTTACGTATTCAAACCGTTAATTTAATGTATTTTTAATCCTTCCAGTATATACTTGATAAGGACCACAACCATATGGTCGAAACGTCGTATTAAATAAAGGAAATTTCTGGCTAGTTTGGTCGAATATAATTTTTTCAATAATCCTGTAAGAATTTAAATTATTCTTATACATGATCTAACGAGAAATGACTCGATAGAAGGATAATAGGGCCGGTTCTCTGGTTTTATGACATAAAACATTCAACATATACGTGCGTCCTCCACCCCGCAACCACCGCCGAAATCCGGCGTGACGTCATATTCCCACTCCACTGAGATCCCCTCGCACCTCACCTTCCCTGAGAGGACCAGAGTTAATATGCAATTTCATGGACGCTAAAAAGTAGCGTCGGTTGAATAAAGAAGTAACTACTTACTTCTTTGTTCAACCAATGGTTGACGCTACTTTTTAGCGTCAATAAAAAGGCTGCTTCAGAACCGGCGCTATCTTACTTTTATCGAGTCGTTTCTCGCTGGAACATATATAAAAATAATTTTCTCCTTAAATTCTTACAGTTTTGCGAGAGAAAGATATCGTTGCGTTTGTTTGATTGAAAAACATGACGAATACAAATAACAACTCGTTTTATTATTCTCTCAGCGGCAATAAACAAGAAGATGAGGTAAGAATTTATCTTTCATTCTAATTTTTCTCTTTCTCTTAGATATTTCATTTATCTATGATGACTACAAAGATTTTGGTGACATAAAAGATTAAGAAAATTATATGATTTATTGTAGAAACTGTTAGAACCGATCAGATACAATCTTCAAATTCCTGGAATGCAGATAACGACAAAATTAATCCAGACTTTTAATTACTGGCTAAAAATATCACCTGACAGATTAAAAGCAATCGAAGAAATAGTAATCATGCTTCACAACTCGGGCAATATGTAAGTTTATATTTTGCTACATCATAATCTTTCATGTTTTTTTATTCCAATATATATTAAATTCTTATGGTTGTTTAATATAATTTTTATTAAGAAATATTGTTTTTGTAATATTTCACACAACACCAAATCTAAAAGTACCTACTCTTGAAACTGGATATATTTTTGTCATAGATATCTTTTACTGATATTGTTAAGGCTCCTGAGTAGTCATCGCAGCTATATTGAAATCGTGACGTCGGACGCGAGAAATAACACGCTGAGAATTCTTGCGTGCCATTTTTAAATAAAAAGATATTTAAAAAAAATAACACTACAGATCGCTTTAGCACACTTGTAAAATATTTCGAAAACTAAGTTTTCCCTTGACAAGGGATTTAATTAACTGCCTTATAATGAGTATCGAAGTAAGCGAGAAAATGCATGATTTGATAACTGTTGAAAAAAGTGGAAAATGTTTCTTTACACTATATATTTCTTGCTAAACTTAGTTTTCGGAACAGTTTATGGGTTTCACAAACACGTTACACGTCACAGCAGTAGGATAAAGTGAATGATAATGAAATGGCACGCAAGAATTCTTAGTCATGTCATTAGGCTGTCAAAATGTCATTTTCTTTGTCGTTTTGCGTGTGTAGATGATGGATGAGTATGTGTGTAACTGTGTGTTATACACTGATTGATTTCTTATCAATTAGTAACATACTTCACTTATGTGGTAAATCTTATTCTTACCTCGTATTTTTTTTGTCGCCTCTGTCAACTCAGAATTTTACGGTGAATATTCAAGAATCTTAAGTCGATGGAAAAATGGCTACGAACCGTTTCATGACTTGAATTGAGTGACATTTTAGTCTTATCCATATGATGACTAAAAAATGACTTCATTCAAGGACATCTATATAGATTATCGATACTCGGCAATAGGAATACTTTAATACAAGAAATAAATGGACTATTATCATTTATGCATCTAATTTCAAATAATCTTAATATTCTATTTAATATTCTGAATCTCAACAAGAAATATACCTAGTGAAAACAATCTAATCAAAATGATGTCAAAATGTTATCAAATTGACAAAGAATATAATATCAAAAGGAATGATCAAAATAACGGCCAAAAAATGGCAATTCCACTACCTAACTGTCATTTTGATGTCTGTTTGATGTCAAAGTAAACAATTGGTGCACGTAACTAATCTCAATCATTACAATAAGCTATTAAATAAAGTACGATGTATAAAATGCAAAAATATATTATACAATTAATAATATTTACTTGCCATCCATGTTAACGGACTAGCGATTACTGGTTTTACAGTGAAATTTACTGATTTTACAATGAATTTTAATTTAACAATTGTTAAAGTCTGATCGAAAGTCATGTTATATAATAAATTTTAACAGATTTTTTATAGGATCGATGTACTATTATAATGACATTAATAATAAAATAATCGTCACTTCATGTCTAAAAAATGACGTCAAAATAATGTTATATCAAGACGTCAATATAAAGTCATGTAACAAATCAGTCATTTTGACGACATATGACCAAAAATGACCAGTTTGGAACTTCAAAATGATGTATACTTGTTACCTGAATAAATTTGGTCAAATTATCTTACCATAATATACTCATTTTCATGTCAATATGACATTGAATTTTTCTCATTAATATTATATATATAATTAATCACTTAAGGATGCTTTGTATGCACAATCCTAGCAAAAAGTAGCTGAAAATCAATATCGACGAATATATCCACTTTTAGTGTATTTTGAGTATGAGAAATTGCATGGAATATTACAATTTGATCTCAGCTACAGAGTGCGGAGATGTACTTTTTAATATCTATTGCGTTTCTACTGAAATATTCCGAATTTTATTAATCGAAATGATTAACTTTTGGCAAAGAATTTCGCCTTGTCACAGATACATGGCTAATTTCATTGAATTATATTTAATATCTTTTTAACCAGTTAGTACTTGTATAATATTATTTGATCAAATATTTCCTTTGTATCTAACACACTTTTCCAAATTTTAAACAGATTCTGAATATTATTCCCATATGTTTTTATCGTTTGAATCGACGTGATAATACGACGTAGTTTTCCATAAGAACACATGCTAATTCGGCATGCAAATTAAAATCCTTATAACTTGTGAACGCTTTAGAATCGATTTAAAAATTGTACTGAAGATTGTAAACATATGCAAGAACATTCTGATTGCCTCGGAGGACTCTTGATGCATCGTTGACCAAATAAGTGGTGAAAGTATTCGCGTGTACTACATGCTGGCTTTCGACTGGTCTTTCGTAAGAAATGGCATCGACGAGCACAACATAATTTTTACATTACATTTATTTCTATATTATTATTTCTATACTACGTGTATTTTATATTACATTTTTTTTTGTTTAAATGGATAAAATTAAATTTATATATCAAACGTGCAATTTTCTATACATTCTTAATATTATGATTTGTTTTATTTTTTACAGAGTTGATGACATTCAAGATAATTCCATTTTGAGGAAAGGTATACCTGTCACTCATTCTGTTTTTGGGATTGCTAGCTCACTAAGTGCTGCCGCTTATATATTGTTTATTGCTTTAGAACGAGTTATTAATTTACAACATCCTGCAGTAAGTAGCCATTATACTTCCAAAAAAAAGATAAAGTATACAGTATTTTAGTCGCATTATCTTTACAAAGCAAAATTGAAAATAACAGATCTTATTTTCTATTAGTTTTTAAATATTATCAAAATATGCAAAATTTAAATACTATCCTTGGATTATATGGCATTTATATATTTAAATAAATCGAAAAAAATTAAAGATTAATTTGTTATAGAAAAAATAAAAATTATTTCTACGAATTGACTGAAAAAAAAACATGCATAAATGTTTTATCGTTAAAAAAAACATTTTATGATATTTTAACATAATTAATATAAAGCATTAAATATAGTTAAAATTGTAAAAGATAAGCTTCATAATGCATGTTAGATAAAATTGTGTGTTGTATTATTGTACTAACTACATTTTCTTTTCAGGCACCAAAAGTATGTATAGAACAATTGTTGGAACTTCAAAGAGGTCAAGGAATAGAAATTTATTGGCGGGATAATTTCATTTGTCCAAGTGAGGAAGATTACAAGGCTATGGCAATAAAAAGTAAATGTTTATATTTGGGTGTGCATATATATTTCTTTGAAATAAAAAAATTACATATAAAAAATTATATATATATATATATATATATATATATATATATATATATACGTACTCAGCAAACTTCAAGTTATACATGTTATATAACTGTAACAATTATATTATTGATTGGGAAATTATAACTAATAATTATATTACTGTTTCTTAGTGTTTACTGGGTATACATATATACACATAATTGAAATATCTATTAATTTTACAGAGATTGGTTGTCTCTTTTTCTTGCCAATAAGATTAATGGATTTGTTCTCAACTTACGAAGAAGATTTATCGCCGCTATTAACTCTTTTGAGTTTATACTATCAAATACATGACGATTATTGTAATTTATGCCTCAGTGATGTGAGTAATAATATATATATTTGCAACATTATACGTACTTAAATAAACTGAAAAAATTGAATTATCAATATATTTTTTGTTATAGTATACCGAAAATAGTTACTGTGATGATTTGACTGAAGGAAAATTCAGCTTTCCAGTTATTCATGCGCTTAAAACCAATCCTGATGATAAGCAAATAATGAGTATCCTTTATTATATATTATTTGTTTATATTTTTTAATTAACACACTAGTAACACATTTACTAAAGAAATGTAACCAGCCCTACATTTCTCATCATACACATACACATATACAATTTTCAGATACTTTATAATTTTATGTATAATTTTATTATATATATGTTTCCTTAATAATGCCTGATAAAGATATTTTGAAACAACGAACAAAAGATATCGAAATAAAACGTCATTGCATTAACTTGTTAGAGAAATTTGGCTCTCTCAAGTATACAAGAAGCGTACTTGAAGAATTGGACTTGAAAGTAAGAGCTGAGATTGATCGCTTAGGAGGCAATCCGTTCCTAATAAAAATTCTGGATGAGTTGAAGAATTGGGATAGCAAAGAAGCGACCTAGGATCCTTTAACACGGACATTTTTATAAGAAAAAAAGTACAGAAATGTTCAAGCTTTAATTCGAGCTGTTATATCATTTGAATTGTTTCATCTCAGCATGATAATTTTTCACTGATTTATTGCTAATGAAAGATGTTAAAAAATTGTGCTACAATTTAGTGGGCCGTTTTTCTTGCATGTGATATAGATATGAGAATAATATGTGTATATCTAGTGGATATCTTTGATAGTTACTTAATGGATATGGATATATGGATGGTATATATATATATATATATATATATATATATATATATATAGATCTACTAGTTATCTATAGAAGACATAGATCTTATATAGCCATTTAGATATCTTTAGATCCAATTTTTTCTGTGTGGGTATTAAATTTATGTATTTGTTTATCATATAAAGTGTCTTCCTTAGTGCGTTAAAAATACTGACAGTACTGTTTTCGCAAAGTTGTTTTCAGCGTGCTGCAAGAGAATAATAATTATTACCATTTTAATGAAAATAGATCCTGAGGAGGTGCTAACTTCTGATTCCGCACATATTCTCGAGGTAATACAAATTCAGTAATACATATGGCGACTGGTCTTTTCTAAATTTTTTGTAACGTTTGAAAAAAAGAAGGAATATCATTAATAAATCTATAATTTTGTCATTAATAAATATATCATTTTATACGTCATTACATATTTTTACATTATTATTTATACTTTTATTTATTTATTATTATTTATATTTATTTATTTATTTATTTATTATATTTATTTATTATTATTATTATTTATTTATACTTTTAGTTATAATGATTAATTTTTCTATTTCAATATTTTTCACTCTTTTTTGTTGCTATAAAATTTATTACGCGTTATCAAGATTTAACTCTCTCTCCCTCTTCTCTCCCGCTCCTCTCTCAATCCATCTATTTATCCCTTTATCCATGTCTATGTCTACAATACTACATCAAATGTATTCCGATTTTCATTGCTGCCACAGTCTACAGACAATTTCGGAACTGTTGATTGCAGTAGCAGTACTGTGTACTGTCAATATATTTTCAGCGCATTTCGAAAAACATCCAATGTTACAACTATTATTATTACTCAAAGTTATTTGTTTTTGATAGCGAAATAGAATAAGGGATTGGGTGAAACAAATAATATACGACATATGATACTAATATGAAAGACTAATATATGAATTAAAAATAAAATAATATATAAAAAAATAATACGACGATAACTAATATAGCAAAACAATTGTAATAAAAAATGCAATTAATAAATGCAAAATAAAATTTCTTGATAGGAAACTTCTTGAAACTTCTTGAAACTTCTTGAAACTTCTTGAAACTCCATGAAACTTCTTGAAACTTTTTGATCAAAGGAAAAGGCTTGTAAAAATGTATTCAAGAATAAGAATAATAATTATGTTACATCCAGACTCTTGAATGGATATGTCATCTGGAAGAGCGTAACTTATTTACCCCGATACACTTTACAAGAACGTGAGTGATTCTGGTCGAACAAACTGTTTGAGCACATACGCTATTTTATTATTTCACAAGAAATATGTATGTTAAGTAAATGTCGCTATTTTTAAAACAATTTATTTAATGAAAAAGCATTTTCTATTTGATATTACCGAAGCAATGACGACTAAAATTAAATTAAATAACATGTGAATAATTTTGGATCAAAATTATTGTTCCAACGTTCTAAGAATTTTTTTGACTATAGAAAGGATCAGTTAATATTTTAAAGCATATTTCAAAATGTATACTTTCTTTGTATACACAATTTGCTCTGCAAATAAGATTTTCTTGTATAATTGAATCATTTCTGATGTGACGATTGCTATTGCACAATGGAACTGTTTTTCTAAATTTAATATGTGTGGATCGTCATCAAAATTAAAATCATCAATCTGCCGTGAATCTGTAAAAAGCAGGACAGAGCAACACGCATTCTATGAGACGCCAAAACAAAAATGAATTGCAAGAAAAGAGACAAAGAAACAAATAAGATAAAAGAGTTAATATCTGGATGAAAAAGAGAAAAGTCGTTATATAATAATGCGCGAAGGAGCAACATGAAATTATTATTAGCAGGCCAGGCAAATCAAGTCTGCAAGAAAGCCATAACGAAAGCGTTAACGCCATCTCATTACACGTGCTCCTATCATTGTCATGCGCTGCCATTTTCAGTCTTTGTTTGGACATAATATCAGCTGCGTGGCTTTCTTGCTTACTTGATTATTATTTTATAATGACTTCATTTTTGTCTGCTTTTGTCAATAAGAATATATGGTTAATTATTGATCATGACACCTAATTCTATTATTTTATTTTTACAAATAGCGTTCTTGCAATTATATGTTTGAAATCTGACAAGTCAATTTTTTACCTTTTTATACGCTACGTCCATCTCAGCGCAGTGGTTTCGCCTTCCAATATTTATTTTATTTTGATTGTTATCTATCAACCACTTATCAACCATTAATTTTAATTCCTTTATAATATTTCATAATTCCTACGCAAAGAAGCTTCTTCAGTCTTTTTAAGTCAAGATTTCATCAACGTATTCTTCTTACTTCCTCAGTCAAAAATTCTTCTACAAATCATACGAAAAAGTAGTAAAAGATGATAAAAGTCTATAAACAAATTCAATAATATAATTTTGAAAAAAATGTATTATATATATATTTTTTTATATATTGATGAAAATGATAAAATACTATCAAAAGTAGAAAAGTTATGTCAAAATATATTCAACTAGAAGAAATTAATAAAAAGACAAACATACACACATTATAAAATTTATTAAAAGAGAAAGGCTAAGGACCGTGGCGTAGGTTACTACCTTTTCAAAAAAAGGTAAAAAAAAGAACTCGAGTCCTCTCAGTAAAACATTATTATATAGTACTATTTTACAAAAAATTATTTTAATAAAAAATTGCTGTATTAAAAAAATTGTGTAAAATAGTTGTCATAACTATCTACAAAAATTAATGATATATTTAAATACAAAATTACGTCGAGAATAAAAGAGTGCGATTTTATTTTATGTTTATCAACAGTGTGTGTGTGTGTGTGTGTGTGTGTGTGTGTGTGTGTGTGTGTGTGTGTATGTGTGTGTGTTAGATGTGATTGATTGCTGATAAATAATTAGATGAAGAAAAATTATGTTTATATTTTCGTCGAAAGTTATTACATCTTTGTCGTAAAAGTCAGAATCCCGATTTCTTCAACGATGAACAGTTGATTCATGTAGCTCGTAATTTAAAAAATTTTAATTATTAAAAAACTCGACACTGCTGAATAATATACAAATAAATTTGGTACATTTTTTAAAATTAGAATCCCTATTTTTGACACGTTTCTTAAACGTATCCAATATTTTTAAATTTTATAAAACGAATGTATGCTACTTGGAGTATCATAGGATATCTTAAAGTTATTTATTGACGACAGCCATGTGTTATAAAACGTTTCGTCATCTATTGATAATGCGTAAAAGGTTAACTGTCCATTTGATAATGCGTTAAAGGTTAACTGTCCATTCGATAATAATCCTATCTTGTTGCAATGTAGCAGGAATTAAATCAAACTTCAAATATTGTTTCGAAAATATTATAGTGCTAAGAAGTGATATATAAGAGATGGTATATAGAATCCAATAAGAGATGGTATATAGAATCCAATAAATATTATTGTTATATGTACTACATAACTGATATAACATAGTTAATGAAGAAAAAATTGTAAATTGATATATATGTATTAATTTACAATTTTTTCTTCATTAACTATGTTACTTGAATGTTTGTTTTCTTATAATACTTATTAGATATTTAACATGTGTATTTTTGTATTTTATATATTATATAAGATCTGCACTTTTTGATGTAATATTAACTATTTTGTAAATTCATAAATGGTACAACACACAATTGTAAATTCATAAATGATACAACACACAATTGTAATTTTCTTTTCAAGTTTTTTTGTATTGCGTTTTAAAGCTTTTTCCTATTTCAAACTGTACATATAAATTTTGTACATACATATTATATATCATTGTTGTGGAGCGAATAAATATTTAAAAATATTATAAAATATTTAAAAATATGTCTATTATTACACTGGAGGGAAAAATTTTTTTAAATCAAATAAATTTGTTTTTTTGAAACTTTTGCTTTAAATGCAAGGAATTGTTTATTTCATTTAAGCAAAAGTATTTAATTTTAATTAAATATGCATGTTATATTAAGAACATTATTTTCATATATATTTCATATATATTTTTTATATTTAAATACTATTTTCGTAAAATATATACTATAATTTATTAAATTAAATATAATATTTTTTTAAATTAAAGATTTAAAATTTTTGGAAACAAAAATGCATTTTAATAAATATTTTGTAAAATTAAAATAAAAATATTTAATTAAAAATTATATTTTTTAAGCATATACATTTTTTAAACATATGTAAATAAATACTTAGCTTAAACAAACAGACGTTTTGAATACAAGTAAATACGTGACACGTAGTACCCACCGAATAAACAGTTTTCTTGAGTGAACTAAAATTTTTTTATTTCAAGATAATTTTTTCCTCAGTGTATGAATTTAAAAAGAGATTATAATATAAATACTTGTTTAATTACTTTTAGTTATTCTTAACAGAATTATTCCTAATTATTTTTAGCAGAAGTTTCTTTAATGATATAAATATATTTTTAAAAGTAAAAATGTTGTAAAGAGCAAACGCAGTTGTAAGGCGTGTTTTTGAAGAAAAAAATAATCCATGAAACGATCACATTAAACGATCTTTCTTCTTTATTGACCTCAAACGTTTCGGACTCAGTTCGAGTCTTCTTCAGTGATTCTGACAAAACAAAAAAGAACCAAATAAGATAACATTAAAAACGCAGTCATTAATAGATAAGAGAGAAAAAATGTAGTTATCATACGTGCATAGTCTTAGAGAGTGAACGTGAACTCGTCAAGGCAAGTCGACTCGAAGGAAACCAAATGCAAGTAGCCCTTTAAGCGGTGCAAGGCGCAAAGAGTGATGCACTAACAAAATAAAGGTATACAATCTAGAAACAAAGCCTTGCAATAAAAAATTAAAATTAGACAAAAACAACTCACTCGGACTCGAGAAGACGAAACAGAAACGGAGACGAATACTCAGCACGCACATAGCCGACTAAGCAAAAAGATTCGAATGCTAACGATAAAAAGACGTCATAGTGCGATCGACAAATCAATCCGTATACACTGAGGACAAGAACAGTCCTAACAAACAACAAACTATTAAATTTTAGACATGTTTTCAATAATTGATAAACACGAAGTATTCAATTTTAAGGTGTTACTATGGAGATTCAACTTGGCGATTGATAGTCTGTTGAACAGATGGGACTATATAGGTAAGAATTGTCGAATACCTCGCGATGAATTTTTAACGACAGTTCGCCTCGTTTTAAACTCTACATTTTTTATGTTCAACGGTGTTTGCTATCAACAAACATTCGGCACGCCCATGGGCTCTCCTCTTTCGCCGATTATTGCTGAGATCACGCTCCAAGATTTGGAGTCAAGGGCCATCGCGACTCTTCCTGTAGATCTCCCATTTTATTTTAGATATGTTTACGACGTTGTGTTGGCGGCTCCCTCCTCAATGCTTAGTACCATTCTGGACACTTTCAACTCGTTCCACACAAGGTTGCAGTTTACTATGGAGGAGAGTGCCGACAATCGTTTGAATTTCCTTGATGTCACTATCATTTTGGAGGATGGATTGATTCATTTTAATTGGTTTCATAAACCGACTTTCTCGGGGAGATACCTCCATTTTGAGTCGCGACACCCCCTTTGCCAGAAGATGGGTACGATAAATGGTCTTACTGATAAAGTTTTCTGGCTTTCTCATCCAAAATTTCATAAAAAGAATTTTGAATTTATTATCAACATTCTGTTGAACAATGGGTATCCTAGCTCTCTTTTTTATTTTCCATACAATTATTGACCGACTTAATATTTTATTACCTAGATTTAACAATAGACTTAATGATGCTTTGACTATAGATAGAAATGTGAGTGACGATGTTAATGAAGGAGTGAGGATCTCATATTTTAATGATCCGTATATTAATAACATATCTGAGCGTTTCCGGCTTTGCGTCAGAGATCTTGATGTCAAACTTTCCTACACTGGAATAAATAATTTGCGCCGTTTTATTAAAGTCAGCAAAGATAAGATGGATAAAGACTCGCGCAGCAATATAGTTTACAAGATCAACTGTGGATTGCGACGCTTCTTACGTTAGACAAACAAGACGCTTATTAAGGACGAGAATTAAAGAACATAAAAGGAACCTTACGTCCATCATTGCCGAGCACAGAGCGTTAGAACATACATTTGATTTTGACGACATTGAGGTTTTGGATGAGGAAACATTTTTAGGAAAGAGATTAATATCGGAGATGATCTATATTAAGCGTCAAAAAAATGCGTTTAATCTCCATAGTGACACCGTAAAATTGAATACTTCGTGTTTATCGATTATTGAAATCATGTCTAAAATTTAATAGTTTGTTGTTTGTTAGGACTGTTCTTGTCCTCAGTGTATACGGATTGTTTTTGTCGATCACACTATGATGTCATTTTATCGTTAGCATTCGAATCTTTTTGCTTAGTCGGCTATGTGCGTGCTGAGTATTCGTCTCCGTTTCTGATTCGTCTTCTCGAGTCCAAGTGAGTTGCCTTTGTTTAATTTTAATTTTTTATTGCAAGACTATGTTTCTAGATTGTATACCTTTATTTTGTTAGTGCATCACTCTTTGCGCCTTGCACCGCTTAAAGGGCTACTTGCATTTGGTTTCCTTCGAGTCGACTTGCCTTGACGAGTTCACGTTCACTCTTTAAGACTATGCAAGTTTGATAACTACATTTTTTCTCTCTTATCTATTAATGACTGCGTTTTTAATGTTATTTTATTTGCTTCTTTTTTGTCTTGTCAGAATCACTGAAGAAGGCTCGAACTGAGTCCGAAACGTTTGAGGTCAATAAAGAAGAAAGATCGTTTAATGTAATCGTTTCATGGATTATTTTTACTTTAAAAACACGCCTTACAACTGCGTTGGCTCTTTATGGCCTATTATTATATTTTATTTTAATTTGTTAATATCAAGTGCCTTTAATTTTGTTTATTTTTTATTTTAAAAATGTTGTATATCGTTTAATATATGAATGGATTGAATAACTTCACAAAAGGCGACCGAAACATTACAAAATTATTTTCATTTTAATTAAAGTGCTTATCATTAATTTGGAAAGTCGCCATATCAAATTACATAACATAATACTCGATGTTTATTGGTCCATAATACTCGATGCTTATTGGTCTTATGTTATGCATATGTAGCTATACAATTTGTGTGTGAGGGCCCTAAGACATCAAGCAACACATGATCAGATTGATCATTCGAAATCAATCACTACTGTGATCGTTAGTCAAAAAAGATTATCGCGTTACTTGTCGCTTAATTTAAACTACATTATATGAATATCACAGGAAACGTGTAATTGTGTACGAATAGTGGATTTTAAAAAGCATAGCTCGTAGTAACACAATCTTACGAACAAATTGTCATAACTACATTTTTAATAAAACCAAAGATATAGCAAATATTTAAGTGAATTCGATTACACGCTGCGTGTGTTTGAATATGTTACATGATCTATAATTTTATAACTTTTTTGATCATTTGTAATTTGATTGCTATTATCTTTTTATCGATTGCTTTTCTACTATAATATTAATAAAAAAGGAAAGCTGATAATAATTATATTCCTGTGTTCGCGATACAATCAAATGAATATGTAAAATTTTGCATTGTCATTTGTTCTCTTAAAAAAATAGAAGTTATTTACTTACTAGGAATTCTCTAATTTAATCTTAAGATAAATACTGTGATCGTGACCATGAAGAGAAATCTAAAAACATAATATTAGAAAATAATAACTTGCTATTCGTTAAAACTGACATTTAAAGAATTTATCGAAAATATATGTATATATGTGAATTAATATCAATTCGATTCATACATCAGAATTAGTAGATTGAGAAAAACAATTAATTGTGGATTGAACGGAAACCGATTGAGTGCAAACGTTTACGAAAAATGCAAATTATGTTTGGAACAATTTTATGTGTTTTATTGAACAGTTTAGTACTGACAAAGGCAACTATCACGCCGAAGGATGATAACACTTCAAACATCTTTCAGGAAGAAAGTATTTCCATATATCCGGATTTAAATTTCACGCAGGTAGGAGATATTTTTCGCTTAAACTTAAGAAACAATTGAATGTTATTGCAGCTAGTAATGTGACTAAAAATGAATGAATAAATTATATATTAAATCTATATAATAACATAAGATAAAATAAAACAATTCAATATAAAAGTAAAAAATATATATGATGTTGTAAAAAACAGATGGATAAAGTTTCGAAATTTTGATTACAAATGAATGTTATATAGTATATTAAATTTAATTAAAACGATATTTTAAAATTTGACTATGTATTTTCTCTCTCTCTCTCTCTCTCTCTCTCTCTATATATATATATATATATATATATATATATATATAATTATATATATAATTATTATTTCTAAAAATAACAATTTTTATATTTAATGAAGTTTTCTGTCTACTATCTGCTACATTAATATATACATACGATGACACTTCAATAGATTTTTATATTATTTTTCTTCAATTTCTAAAATTTCTTTATATTTCTAGATATTTCTGATATTTATAATATTTATTGATATATAGTAAGATTTAAGTAGATTTTATTTTAAGAAATTATTTTAAAAAGTTAGCATTACTTCTTTGTGTTAAGGGTAATTATATAACGGAATAAAGCTAAGTATCGAGATAGAAAATTTGTCTAATAAAAAAATCGTTCATCAAACATTCTTCAAATTGTATCTATTAACGTTAATATTTCGGTCGACGATACATTCGATAACAATTGCTAGAATTTATATTAATTTTCATTGTACATATATTCATTCATATACAATTACATGCACATATTCTTATCGAAGCATTATCGGTTTATACGATCGGTTTATATTATCATTTTCAAGATTTGAGTGTTAAAAATATAATGACACTCGAGAAAAAACTTGACAAGGATATAAATAAAAGAATATATATAATTACTATAATTAATATTTAATAACAGTAAAGAAACAATATTTTTAACCTTTTTATGCTTGAAGTACAAACATTAATAGAACTTTAATAATATTGGCAAATTTTTGAAAAAAATTTAAGTTACGTAAAATTGAGAAGAATTAACTAACCTATCATGAGAAAGAATAAAATCATTAGACAAAATTGTTTTAATAATTGCGAAGAACTACTTTCGCTTCTACTACTTGCTAAAAGCTGTTATGATTCGTCATTGACTCTTGTCAACCTATATTGATTGATTTTTTTTTTTGATATGATGATTTATGTTTGATATACAAGATGTTTTTAAAAAAAATAAAAAATAGAGTTTACAATATGAATAAAACTAAAATTGCATTGAATATATATTATATAAAAATGGTTTATATCAAACAGGTATTATTAAGCATACAAAGAAGGAATGGTAATTTTTCGTTTAATTTTATAATTTATATAATTTATCATTAAAAGCACCAGAAATAACCGCTTCAACGATATTCATTTTATAATTCTTTTTGTATGTTATACTTTATGAAGAATATTTCAATGTCCGAGAAAAATTATCATCGTATATTAAATTTTAAATCTGTCCGGAGTCATTCTGATAGTACTGTGAGAAATGAGCGAGAAGTCGATGAAGTTACGCTTGCAAATATTTCTATCATCCCAGAATCTATCGGTAAGTTACAAAAAATGCATCAAACATTAATAACATAATCTATGACGAAAAAGTGTAAATACAATTTAAATTTAAGAGAGAGTGGAAATAAATTTAAAAATACCTTTCAGCAATGAAAAAAAATATAAATTCTATTTTGTCGAAAAAAGAAATAAAAAAACATAATATAAACATAACATTGTACATAAAAATTGTCATGATTTAAGGTAAAGTCAATTGGATTAATTTGCTATTTGGTTATAAAACAATCACAAATATTGTACTCCTGATTTCTTACATTGTAGAAATTTTTCGAAAAGTACTTGTCATTTTATTAAAAGTTATTTATTCGTTTTTGCTATGTATTAACAATTACTTTTCTAAGTCTTAAATGACGCAAAAATTTTTTATATCATTTTATTTTTTAAAGATCAATACTGTGCTAATTTTCATATTTTGTAATTTAGATTTATTTTTCCTGTTTCCTTTATTTTCATATTAAATTGTTCTTTCTGATTTACTGAGATATCCACATAATTATTAATATAATTATAATATGTACAATCTATTCTAGAAAACAATTTGAACAAGCCAACATCTCTCAGAGCATTTGTACAATTCGACAGTCAATTCACAGAAAAAGTAAACGACATTTTTGTGATATTGAGGTAAAGAATCTAAATTATCAGTTTGTATTCTTTCATTTTTCTCTCTTTTCTTAAATTCAACGATATAAATATATCAAAATGTTAATTCTGTTATAATTTTACTAAATATAAAAAGACTGAAATATTATTTTTTTATAGATGGAACCAACCTAACTTTTCCGATGAAATAATACAAGGGTACACGGTGCAGTGTTTTTTCATCGAGGATTTAAAAGAGATTCAAATCTGTGAGGATAGAAATATTACCACTACAGAATTGGAGCACACGGTTCACAATCTGACATTTAACACGACATATTATTTTCGAGTACGTGCGCATACTAAAATTGTTGCTGGACCTTACACGGATTTAATTAATGTGTCGACTACACATGAAAATCCAATACCTAAATTATTACTCATAACATATGGAGATATCCAAATATGGGACGTGGATTTAAACATCATTACTAATTTAGTAATGACGTCACAGTACGTATACTGATAAAAAAAATAGTTAGAATTATGAAATTATTTTTGACACTATAAAGTTAAACTTATTATTACTACGCACAAGTTTATTATCAACATTATAGTAGTAATAATTATAAAATTCGAAATCTCAACTATAATTTTTTTAATATACTATTATAGTTGGCTCCTTTTTTTCAGCTCAGTAACAAATGCCGTTTATTCGATACAAGAACATAGAATTTATTGGAGTACCTGGGAAGGAGACCTAATGACATTGAAGATTAATGAAAATAATATCACAAAAATAGCTAGCTTTGATCATGATATACTCGTACATGATCTCTGCATTGACTGGGTAGCAAGAAATCTATATTTTACATATAAAGAGTATGATACATCAGACTACTATTACATTCTAAAGTTCGACTTAACAATGTCGGAAAATGGCATAATTAAATTTGATCAGATTTTCAAATCAAAATTTCGTATTAGCTATTTAGAAGTTTCACCGTCTATGGGGTACGTTCACTAAAGTTCGTCATTATTTTCAAAAATTAATTTTCCATTAAAGATTTATGCAAATTTGTAATTTTTCTATAATTTTACGTAGTTTTATAATAAAGATCATAAGTAAAAAGTCATAATAAGTTATTATATAATTATAAGAATTTCGAATTTTTATCACATATAAATTTCTGTTTTTGTTAAAATAATGTTTTATAAGAGTGAGTAAAATAATTATATCTTTTTTAGAATTTTATATCACATATCATACAATTGGATGAGTGGAAGACATGTAATGATGAAATATCATCTCGATGGAAAAAACGAGCAAATTGTTAAGATAAATGCTTCCCTATTTTATTATATTATATATCCTTTCAGTAATATGATAATTGATAACATGAATGATGAAGAGTCGTTAATTTACTGGTTAAATGATTGGAGTATAAATGTAACAGACATTAATATTTCTAAGTTTAATCAGATTTTACACAAGAAAGACATAAGTGATGACATCAAATTCCAATATATGACGATTGACAAAACAAACATTTACATTTTAACATATAATTCTCAATATAATTCATATACCTTCCTCGTTTTGAAAAAGAAATATGCAAGTCTCAAGAACGTCCCATATGCATACAAATATGTTATAAAGATACCAATAAGCTCAGATAAAAGTGAGTTTTTTAAAAACATATATATTTACGCTTTTGATAAATCTTCACAACCATATCCTCCAATGAGATGTCTGACATTTGACGAAAAAGTTTATAATTTTGAGAATGTGACTGCAACGACAAACAGCATTATTGTAAATCTTCCGGAGCCAGTTGTAAAGAGTGGATGCAAAAAATATAATTTACCAACTACTATATATACTATTTTTGTAAGCCATTGTTTAGACAACAACCTCAACAAGTCTGAAGAATTCAATGTGCCGCCAGGCGAGCGACATTACAAGATTCAGAACTTAACACCATTTACAGAGTACAAGTTGAAGTTTACTTTAAGCAATTTTTACTATGATCAATTATCAATAAATTCACTCGATTCGAACGTGACACGAATAAAAACTAATTTGGGCAAACTTAATGTACCAGAAAACATAAGTGTTTTAGCTTTGACGCCTACTATAGCAGTAGTTCATTGGATGCCACCCAAGAAATTAAACTGCGTGGTTGTGACCTATGAAGTACATTGGAAATTAGTGAACGACACGCAACAAGAGAATAAACAATTTATCATTGTGCCGAAACGTGTGGCAGACGGCAGATTTTTCACAAAGATTAACTTGTCGCTACCAATACAAGATTACTTGATATACGTGCGTGTGTATCCAAGTAATTTCAGCGATTTCTACAACGAGAGTTTAAGCAAGATCGATCACATATACTCAGAACCAAACAATATTACTATGAGCGAGGCCAACACAAATAGCATGGACATTTCATGGATCTCAAACGTCAATCTTACGGTCTTTCTTACACTAGAATACAAGGAGATTGCAACAGAAAAGTGGCAAACAACGAATAATTTTAAAATGAATTATAACAAGGAAGTAATATATCATATCGAAAATTTACAGTCGGGAAATTTATACAAGTTTCGCTTGATATTGAGATATCCCGAATATAAGGAAACTTTTACATGGCCGACTGATGAAAGATTTATTTTTTCAACACGTGGTAGCAAACGTGGTAAGCAAATGAAAATACCCATACAGCAAAATAAGATTGTAGATATATTGAAGAATAATTTCATTGAAACATTGCAAATTGATTGCGAAACTTTGCTGAGTCATTGTTATAAGATGTGATAAAGTTAAGATATCCGCTTTTTGCAATGAAATATTGTAGCAATATTACGGTTTAATATATTGAAAAGAATGCAATGTTATTACAATCATTTAATAATATTACGTATAAAATATTTTCGTTTTTGATGGATAAATATCTTGAAAACAAATAATTAAATTAAAAAGCTTGATATAAATAGAAGTTTGCAATATCTAAGATAATATATTGCAAAATTATATTTAAACGTAATCATATAAAATATGTTTTTATACAAAATTACTTTAAACTCTTATTTACAAATCATTTTTGTTATTTTAAATGTTCTATATACTCTTATAATGGGTATTTTATATATATATATATATATATATATATATATATATAAATGTATATCTTTCTCTAATGGTTAATTAATGTTTATACATATATAAACATTGGTTATAGAATTAATTAAACATTACTAATTATATTTTTATTTAAAAATTTAAAAAATGCGTTATATTTATATTTATTTGTATGAGAAAGACATAAAAATACATTGAAAAATAAAATGATAGATATAAAAATATCTATTCTTAATGTAATAAAAAGATATCGTATTTGTACATAAAGTAAAAATATATCATAAAATATATTTTAACATTGCTATAAAATGTTATCTATATTTTAATAAAAGAATAGAAATGCTTATGAAAAGAGATGCTTATCTTTAGCTTAGAATTGTATTTAATCGACTGATATTATTTCTGTGTCATTAATTCGTTTGACTTGTGCAAAAAAGTAAAATTCATTGCATATATATAAATATAAGAATATATATTATTACATTATTTTTACAGATAAATTAAAGAGTGTTATAGTTTCCAAATGGTTTCAAAATATTAATATTACATTGCTAATACTCAATTCATATTTTGTTAATTTATATTTCTACAATGTTTGTGTAATGTTGCATTGCAATTTGTGATATTGCAATATTGTTGCAAAGTAGTTGTAACATTCTGTGCTGCATAGATATTATAATATGATATACTAATATTTTTAAATGTGAATAGGCCTAAAATTTAAAAAAATTAAATTTTTGTAATAAAGTTACAAGTAAAAATAAATTTTTAAAAACATACACACACGAAGATATTAAAATTATATTTTTGCTTAATACAGATATTTCGGACACTCCTGGAATAATAGCGAAAAAATATTACTTATTATTGATGTTAGGTTTTATCGTTATAGTTATTATAATCTGCCTCTACTACTTTTATTGTTGTAAGTATTGTATATTTGATGATGGTATCAACTTGAATTGTTGATTATACATATATATCTGATATAATATCTAAAAATTTACTAAAAATAGTAATTTACTTATATAAAAGTAAACGAAAAATTTTATAATACACATATTATTACATAATTAAGTCGAAATTTTATAACAGTGTATCGTCAACGCAGAGGGAATAATGAACAATTTTTGTCTTCAACAATGTCCGATATAGAATTGGAGATTCTACCGGATGAATGTGCGATAACTAAAATAGCACGTAAACAAATTAGATTTACAAAACATATTGATACCGGCGCATTCGGAATGGTAAAAATTAATGTTTTCAAGCAATGTTTCAAATTAATTTCTAAATGAACAAAACAGATATGTATTTTCTAATAAAGATACAAAAGAAATTATATAAATTTTTATAATAGATTATAAATAATATAAAATTTGGATGAGACAACAAACATTCACTTAATTTCATATTTTTCGTTAAATTATTTAATATAAAGTGAAATATAATATTACTTGACATTAAACTATACTATTTTCTAATAAATTACTTAATGTAAATTTGTGTGAAATATTTTGCAGGTGTATCAAGGAAAAGTGAAAAACTTAGAAAGTTCGGGCACAGAGATATCCGTTGCAATAAAAACGCTTCGGAAAGATGCTTCCTCCCATGAGAAAAAGAGATTGTTAAAAGAAGCCGAGCATATGAATCGTTTTCGACACAAACATATATTAAGATTGTTGGGCGTTTGTTTGGATGGAATTTCTCCGTTTCTAGTGTTCGAATTAATGGAAACTGGTGATTTGTCAAAATATTTGAGAGATTGTCGAAATTTGGAAGCGTCAGATTCGCACGCTCTGCGTTTGCAAGATTTGTTCGCCATGTGCGAAGATGTTGCGCGAGGTTGTTGCTACTTGGAAGAATTGCATTTCGTACATAAAGATCTAGCGTGTCGCAATTGTTTAGTATCTTCGAGAAATCGCGAGAATCGTATTATCAAAATTGGAGATTTTGGATTAGCTAGAGATATCTACAAGAATGATTATTATCGCATGGTAAATACAATTATTTAAAAAAATTAAAAAATAAATTCATTTGAAAATACTATCCATTTTTTATCATAATAGTATCGTGCATTGCTTCTTCAAGTAATATGGAATATAAATAGTTTTTATATATATATAGCAAGAGATAACGTTTTTCTTTTTGCACATATTGTAAAAATGAACAACTTGAACCAGAAAATTAAATATTTTAATGTTTTAATTTTGTTAAAATCATGTTTTAGAGAGGAGAAGATTTGCTTCCTGTTCGCTGGATGGCACCCGAATCTTTGATGATCAGAACATTTACTTCTCAAAGCGATGTTTGGTCATTTGGTGTTTTAATGTGGGAAATTACATCGTTGGGTGAGCAACCTTATAGTGCCAAGACTAATGAGGAAGTGATATTTTATGTAATCGCTGAAAACAGGTTGCCGATGCCTCTTAACTGTCCGTCACTATTGTATCAGTTGATGGAACGTTGCTGGAGTGAAGCAGCGGCTGCTAGACCAAATTTCGAATTTTGTCTGAACAATATTATAACATTAAGAGAGAACATAGAAGATGCCTTACTGAGTCCAGTCGATACTATTTAGCTGATATTATAATTAAATTAATGTTTATTTTCCAAATGATCCAGTAAATCTTACTGTAGGAAAAGTATTTGTAGATAATTGATTCTGTCTGTTCTGAATTTAAATTTTATTAGTAAATTATATTAAAAGATAAAGAAATAATATAAGATAAAATTATGATATATAAAATTAATAATATAAGATTAGAAGGTGAAGAAATATGATAATTTTTAAATCTATATTTAACATCTGTACATCATATAAAATTTGAATAAAAACTTTTTTTAAAGTTTATATTTTTAATTTGAATAAAATAATTGAATTTTTTTATATATATATATATGTATATATATATATATATATATATTTTTTTTTTTAATATTATATTTGCTGAAATCATGTTACATACTAGAAAACAGAAAGTCTGTTTCTTATTAAAATATTTATGGAACATTTCATTATATATTTTAAGATTTATAACTTTATATTTATTCGAACATAATTTTGTTCAAATGGCTTGATAATTGTTTCAAAAAGTTAAAAATTAAAAAATTAAAAATTAGAAGAAAAATTGAAAAGTTAATAATCTCTCTTATATCTAAGATCGACGTGATAGAGATAACAATTTTAAATTTACAACTATCATTCACTTGCAACTTTGCTTTACTTTCTTTTTAGATTTTTCGTTTGTATATAATTATAAAAAATTTTTCTGTTTTTAGAGATGTTTTGAGAGATAATATTTATAAGAATATTATATTATATATTTTAAGATATTTTAATCTAATATAATAGAATATATTTTAATTTGTAATATTATAATCTACTTAAATATTTTGCAGAACAGTGTCATTCTTTTTAATAATAATAATGTATAATTCTTTTAATAATAATTTATCTCTATTACCTTTGTAATTTGTTCGTAGCAACCTTTAGTCCATAAGTGATTTTGCAATGTCCATTCAATATCTTCATCAGATAAATGCAACAGGAAGAGAGCGGGATATCGTATTAAATTTCCATTTATAATGTATATATTTATTACATTTTAATTTACGATTGAAATATATTATCATGCTGTATGTTATCAAAAAAAAACAAATCAAATTTCAATTGCAAACAAGAAAATAAATTAATGTTTGTTATTTTCATTCATTGATTATGAAATGTATTAATTATTATCTTAATATGTTATTAAGACTTACAAGTACGTATTATTTTTGACTTATAATTAAGTGTTATTTATTGATATAAAATGTAATATAAAATATTACTTGGAATTGCCAATAATTGTCATCAAATTTATACGGTGAATGATATTTGTGATATTTTCCTGCGGAAATATTTAACGAATAATTTAGCACGCGCGATATCTTTCTTATATAAAAGTATTCTCCATTATCCCAGTCTTTGTATTACTAAAAATAATAAAAAAATATCTATTATATTGTATATATACAGGCATACATAGTTATTTAGATAGTTTATCGATTTTCGAACGTTTTGTATATTCTATTATAGTTTTTGTACAATATTAATTAATTTTTTCATGATTTAATGATCACTTGGAAGCAGATTGAAAACATTATCACATTTTATAATGTATTTTTTCGAAATGTTGCGCGATTTTCGAAATCGAGATCTATTATACAGATTTCCTATTAATTAACAATGTAATTAAAACTCTGTTAATGATTGAAACTTATAAAATGCAACTCAGACTGTATGAAAACTGTAATATAATATACAAAGTGTTCAAAAATCAATAATTAAGTATCTAAATAATTATATCATTGTGAAACATTTTGTAAAATATTAAGATATTTACATAAAAGTATAAATTAATCTTAAGTCTGAACAATAGTCTTTCATTTTACAGAGAGTTTCAATCATTAGCAGCACACATTAAATAATTTTCTTATGATTTTTTTATTTTTTTTATTATCGCTCGGAAGCGAAGGCTGAAAAGTGTAGTAAAACGAATCGAATAACAAAATCATATAATTAACGTAACGGAAAGCCTTTTGATTTTTTTATGGAATTTTTTATGGAATAAAATAATGCATTCACACTCTCTATAAAAATAAATCAGTATATTATCACTGAAAACAGTAGACAAAGTCACTGATGCAGCAATTATAAGTTATTATGGCACTGTAAATCAATAATATTTCACTGAAAGAATTAGTAATTCTTCGCCCCGATATTTTTCTCGTCTACGTCTCTTCAGGGGGGTAAAGAGGGTTTTATAGAATTTCTCAAAAATGAGAATCTATATCTTGGTTAAATGCACCAAGTAAAATATATGCATATGCCGTGTTTTCGTTTTAAAATTTCGCGTAAAATTAAAAAGAATTTTTCAGGCATTACCATTCGCTGTGGCTCGTAGACGCTAGTTTTCTTATCATGCTCTTTAATATATAACGAGCCTATTTCCTTTCGATTTAGAATTAGTAATGTTGACTGTTTTAATCAGTAATATTAATTTATGTACCTCATCTAAAATTAAAAATTTTATTTATATTTACATGCGTATTAGAACAAAAATGTTAAATAGATGATAGTTTATTTTACATCTTTAACATATGATGACGAACTAGCGATTACTGATTTTACAGTGAAATTTTACTTCCACTGATTATAATTAGTAAGTCATAAGATAAAGTAATAAAAAAGAAGAGTTTCTACTAGATCAATACTGAAATACTGATTCTTAGTGATTTTATCCATATATTTATAAATAGAAATTAATATAGTTTTCGTAATACTTATATATATTATATATATATATATATATATATATATATATATATATGTTTATATGTATGTATGTATATGCATATGTATGTATATGTGTATATATAATTTGAAATTAATAAAAATTAATTTTTATTTTGTCTCAAAAACGTGAAAAATACGTTTTCTTAACTGGTTTCAAAAGCGTTTCTATAAAAACGTTTCTTATTAATGTTTTACGGTTAAAAAATATTGGATACGTTTAAGAAACATATATAAAATATGTATAAAACGAATGTGTGCTACTTGGAGCATCATAGCATATCTTAAAGTTATTTATTGACGACAGCCATGTGTCATAAATTGTTTCGTTATCTATTGACAATGCGTGCAATTAAAGGTTAACTGTCCATTTAAACCGAATTTACTGCCAGTGCTGGAAATCTATAATATACGTGACGTAAACTATAGATTTTTATTTTTAGTTTATTGACGTAAACTATAAATTCTTTTGCGCGATCTTATGTTGCAAGAATGGTAAAAGAAACATTATTGGAGCTTGAATGCGAAGTTCTCCCGCACCCGCCTATTCACCAGACTTGGTCTCATCGGATTATCATCTTTTCCTCAACAATGCAACACGTACTCGACAATACACACTTCTTCAAATACGAAGAAGTCCAAAAATGTATCAATCAATGGATTGCTTAGAAAAACAAATCGTTCGCGGAATGCAACTTTTGCAAAAAAGATGAAAAAAATCATAGAAAACAAAGGATTATACTTTGATTAATATATTAATCCATTTTCTTATTGAAATAAATGCATTTTTCAAGTAAAAAAACGACGGAAACTTAGTTATACACCTTATATATATATATATATATATATATATATATATATATATATATATAAGGTGTATAACTAAGTTTCCATCGTTTTTTTACTTGAAAAATGCATTTATTTCAATAAGAAAATGGATTAATATATTAATCAAAGTATAATCCTTTGTTTTCTATGATTTTTTTCATCTTTTTTGCAAAAGTTGCATTCCGCGAACGATTTGTTTTTCTAAGCAATCCATTGATTGATACATTTTTGATTGATACATTTATATATATATATATATATATGTCACGCGGCATGTTCCAGGACGTCCTTTTATTTTTGCATTTAAAAATCATGTGTGCAATGTATATGTGCGCAATAATGTCATGTGTGCAATCGTACTTTCGTTTCCTTATATTTTTCATGTGTGCAATAATACATGTAGGCAATCAGGAATTTTGGCAATCGGGAATATAGGCAAACGGGTCCCTCTTAATGTTTTTTAATAAAGTCATCTTTTAGTCATCATGTAGATAAGACTAAAATGTCACTCAGTTCAAGTAAGAAACCAGTTCTAGCAATCTTTCCACCGATTTAACGATGTTAATAACAAATGTTTATGACAAAAATATATTCAGTTTTAGGAGTACTTTTAGACAACTTGCTGCTCTGTGAAATATTATTACAAAAATAATATTTCTTAATGAAAATTATGTGAAATAATCATAACAATCTAAATATATATATTATAAAGAAATAAAAATGTGTGCAATTGGAATAAAAAAAACATTATGATATAACAAAAAATTATGATATAACAAAATGCAAACTTACATATTGCCCGAGTTGTGAAGCATGATTACTATTTCTTCGGTTGCCTTTATTCTGTCAGGCGATATTTTTAGCCAATTAAATAAGCTAATTAAAAGTCTGAATTAATTATCGTTATCTGCATTCCAGGAACTAGAAGATTGTATCTGATCGATTCTAACAGTTTTTACAATAAATCATAATGTTCTTAATCTTTTATGTCACCATAATCTCTGTAATCATCATAGATAAATGAAATATCTAAGAAAAAGAGAAAAATTGGAATGAAAGATAAATTCTTACCTCGTCTTCTTGTTTGTTGCCGCTCAGAGAATAATAAAACGAGTTCTTATTTGTATTCGTCATGTTTTTCAATTCTCAGCGATATCTTTCTCTCGCAAAACTGTAAGAATTTAATAAATGTAGAAAAGGTATAATCGCTAGTCGAATAATCAAAGGATTATTGAAAAAATTATATTCGACCAAACTAGCCAGAAATTTCCTTTATTTAATACGACGTTTCAACCATATGGTTGTGGTCCTTATCAAGTATATACTGGAAGGATTTAAAATAGATTAAATTAACGGTTTGAATACGTAAAAAGCACAAAGCAGAATAAAGAGTAACCAAATTTACCGATGAAATATAATAATCAAGAGGCAAACATAGCGCTTGTAAAAACCATGACGAGTCACAAATAAAAAACGTTATATAATTAAATTCAAAAAAATGAGAGAGACTGATGCGTCCATGTGAGACTTCGTCGAAAAACTAAACGAATCTCGAGGGAAAAACACAACTAAGTGACCTTTATTATTTTGTCATAAATATTATTTAGATTATCTGTGTCTGTCTGTAAGTTGATGAGATTATCAGATCTCTTAATAAAAAACATCTCAGCAATCTCTCTTTTTCGAACATACGTTTCGCTATGTAAGATGTCGGGTTTCAACCAATCAAAATCGTGTCCAGATTCCAATCTGTGTTTGGTAATTGCGGAGTGATTAGAATCATGTAACTTTATATTATTACAATGTTTCTTCACTCGTGTACGTAGATGTCTTTTTGTTTGACCTATGTATGATATGTTGCAATCTTTGCAATTTAATTTATATACAACGCTTGTCTTGTCGTTATTATGTAATCTGTCTTTACCGCGTCTAATTAAATTATTTAGTTTTTTTGTTATTGTGTAAACAACCCTAAAACCGTTATTTCGCAAAAGGCGGTGCAGATCATGGCTCGTATTCTCTACGTATGGTATTGTAATAATTTGAGCCTTATCTACACGAGTAAGATTGTCGTCAGTATTGTCATTACGGTCACGATTATTTAAAAAATTGATTCTCTTTCGAATGTGTCTATATATGATGTGTTTAGGAAAACAATTATTGATTAAAGTGTCATAAACTAGTTTGATATTTTCTTGCTTAAAGCAATCGTCAGATAATAAAATAGCATGGTCGACTAAATTGTAAATCGTATTAATTTTATACTTAAGCGGGTGATTCGAATAAAAGTTAATATATCTACCAGATCATGTAGGTTTCCTAAACCATTTAGTGATAAGTTTAGTGCCTGACCTAATGACTTTTACATTAAGAAAGTTGATCGACGAATCAATTTCAATCTCGTGTGTGAAACGTAAACGTACATGGTAATTATTGAAAATCGTTAGAATCTCATCAACTTTTGTACGTGGCACGATTGCGAAAACGTCATCTACATATCTATAATAAATAGGCGCCGCAAAACTAAGTGAATTTAAACATTGCGTCTCCAGATCGTCCATCACCATATCTGCTAAAATAGGTGATAGTGGGGAACCCATAGGAGTGCCGAAGATCTGTTCATAAAAACGTCCGTTGAAAGAAAAGCAAGTTGAGTCCAATATCAGTTCTATAGTATGTAAAAACTGTGACAGATTAAATTTTGTATTTTTAGAGATGTCCACCCAACGCTTTCTTATGGCATTCTCAACTAATTCTTTTGGAACGTTGGTGAATAGAGAAGCAACATCCAATGAAATCATTATGTTATCTTCTTCAATGCAAGTGGTTCTTAATACTGTCAACAAAGGACCATCCATCTTTAATATGTGAGTTAAATTTCTTAATCGATTTGTGAAGAATGTTATGAATATATGTAGAAATATTATAAACCGGACTTCCCAGAACGGATACAATAATTCTCAACGGGACAGATAAAGACAGATTACATAATAACGACAAGACAAGCGTTGTATATAAATTAAATTGCAAAGATTGCAACATATCATACATAGGTCAAACAAAAAGACATCTACGTACACGAGTGAAGGAACATTGTAATAATATAAAGTTACATGATTCTAATCACTCCGTAATTACCAAACACAGATTGGAATCTGGACACGATTTTGATTGGTTGAAACCCGACATCTTACATAGCGAAACGTATGTTCGAAAAAGAGAGGTTGCTGAGATGTTTTTTATTAAGAGATCTGATAATCTCATCAACTTACAGACAGACACAGATAATCTAAATAATATTTATGACAAAATAATAAAGGTCACTTAGTTGTGTTTTTCCCTCGAGATTCGTTTAGTTTTTCGACGAAGTCTCACATGGACGCATCAGTCTCTCTCATTTTTTTGAATTTAATTATATAACGTTTTTTATTTGTGACTCGTCATGGTTTTTACAAGCGCTATGTTTGCCTCTTGATTATTATATTTCATCGGTAAATTTGGTTACTCTTTATTCTGCTTTGTGCTTTTTACGTATTCAAACCGTTAATTTAATCTATTTTAAATCCTTCCAGTATATACTTGATAAGGACCACAAGCATATGGTCGTAAGCGAAACGTCGTATTAAATAAAGGAAATTTCTGGCTAGTTTGGTCGAATATAATTTTTTCAATAATCCTGTAAGAATTTATATTATTCTTATACATGATTTAACGAGAAATGACTCGATAAAAGTAGGATAATAGGGCCGGTTCTCTGGTTTTATGACATAAAACATTCAACACACACGTGCGTCCCCCACCCCGCAACCACCGCCGAAATCCGGCGTGACGAAATATTCCCGCTCCACTGAGATCCCCTCGCACCTCACCTTCCCTGAGATGACCAGAGTTAAGATGCAATTTCATGGACGCTAAAAAGTAGCGTCGGTTGAATAAAAAAGTAACTATTTACTTCTTTGTTCAACCAATGGTTGATGCTACTTTTTAGCGTCAATAAAAAGGCTGCTTCAGAACCGGCGCTATCTTATTTTTATCGAGTCGTTTCTCGCTGGATCATATATAAAAATAATTTTCTCCTTAAATTCTTACAGTTTTGCGAGAGAAAGATATCGTTACGTTTGTTTAATTGAAAAATATGACGAATACAAATAACAACTCCTTTTATTATTCTCTGAGCGGCAACAAACAAGAAGATGAGGTAAGAATTTATCTATGATGACAAAGATTTTGGTGACATAAAAGATTAAGAAAATTATATGATTTATTGTAGAAACTCTTAGAACCGATCAGATACAATCTTCAAATTCCTGGAATGCAGATAACGAAAAAATTAATCCAGACTTTTAATTACTGGCTAAAAATATCGCCTGACAGATTAAAAGCAATCGAAGAAATAGTAATCATGCTTCACAACTCGAGCATTATGTAAGTTTGTATTTTGCTACATCATAATCTTTCATGTTTTTTTATTCCAATATATATTAAATTCTTATGGTTGTTTAATATAATTTTCATTAAGAAATATTGTTTTTGTAATATTTCACACAGCACCAAGTCTAAAAGTACCTACTCTTGAAACTGGATATATTTTTGTCATAGATATCTTTTACTGATATTGTTAAGGCTCCTGTGTAGTCACCGCAGCCATATTGAAATCGTGACGTCAGACGCGAGAAATAACACGCTGAGAATTCTTGCGTGCCATTTTTAAATAAAAAGATATTTAAACAAAATAACACTACAGATCGCTTTAGCACACTTGTAAAATATTTCGGAAACTAAGTTCTTCCCTTGACAAGGGATTTAATTAACTGCCTTAAAATGAGTATCGAAGTAAGCGAGAAAATGCATGATTTGATAACTGTTGAAAAAAGTGAAAAATGTTTTTTTACACTATATATTTCTTGCTAAACTTAGTTTTCGGAACAGTTTATAGGTTTCACAAACACGTTACACGTCACAGCACTAGGATAAAGTGAATGATAATGAAATGGCACGCAAGAATTCTTAGTCATGTCATTAGGCTGTCAAAATGTCATTTTCTTTGTCGTTTTGCGTGTGTAGATGACGGATGAGTATGTGTGTAACTGTGTGTTATACACTGATTGATTTTTTATCAATTAGTAACACACTTCACTTATGTGGTAAATCTTATTCTTACCGTATATTTTTTTTGTCGCCACTGTCAACTCAGAGTTTTACGGTGAATATTCAAGAGCCTTAAGTCGATGGAAAAATGGCTACAAACCGTTTCATGACTTGAATTGAGTGACATTTTAATCTTATCCATATGATGACTAAAAGATGACTTCATTCAAGGACATCTATATAGATTATCGATACTCGGCAATAGGAATACTTTAATACAAGAAATAAATGGACTATTTATCATTTATGCATCTAATTTCAAATAATCTTAATATTCTATTTAATATTCTGAATCTCAACAAGAAATATACCTAGTGAAAACAATCTAATCAAAATGATGTCAAAATGATGTCAAATTGACAAAGAATATAATATCAAAAGGAATGATCAAAATAACGGCCAAAAAATGGCAATTCGACTACCTAACTGTCATTTTGATGTCTGTTTGATGTCAAAGTAAACAATTGGTGCACGTAACTAATCTCAATCATTACAATAAGCTATTAAATAAAGTACGATGTATAAAATGCAAAGATATATTACACAATTAATAATATTTACTTGTCATCCATGTTAACGGACTAGCGATTACTGGTTTTACAGTGAAATTTACTGATTTTACAATAAATTTTAATTTAACAATTGTTAAAGTCTGATCACGAAAGTCATGTTATATAATAAATTTTAACAAATTTTTTTATAGGATCGATACTATTATAATTAATAATAAAATAATAATACACATTAATAATAAAATAATCGTCACTACATGACTAAAAAATGACATCAAAATAATGTTATATCAAGACGTCAATATAAAGTAATGTAACAAATCAGTCATTTTGACGACATATGACCAAAAAAGACCAGTTTGGAACTTCAAAATGACGTATACTTGCTACCTGAATAAATTTGGTCAAATTATCTTACCACAATATACTCATTTTGATGTCAATATGACATTGAGTTTTTCTCATTAATATTATATATATAATTAATCACTTAAGGATGCTTTGTATGTACAATCCCAGCAAAAAGTAGCTGAAAATCAATATTGATGAATATATCCACTTTTGGTGTATTTTGAGTATGAGAAATTGCATGGAATATTACAATTTGATCCCAGCTACAGAGTGCAGAGATGTATTTTTTAATATCTATTGCGTTTTTACTGAAATATTCCGAATTTTATTAATCGAAATGATTAACTTTTTGCAAAGAATTTCGCCTTGTCACAGATACATGGCTAATTTCATTGAATTATATTTAATATCTTTTTAACCAGTTAGTACTTGTATAATATTATTTGATCAAATATTTCCTTTGTATCTAACACACTTTTCCAAATTTTAAACAAATTCTGAATATTATTCCCATATGTTTTTATCATTTGAATCGACGTGATAATACGACGTGGTTTTCCATAAGAACACATGCTAATTCG